TCAGTGGAAATTGTACCAAGCTTTAGCTGTGATATATATTGCAAGTCCAAGTAATTTCATACACTCCTCTCTGGTTGCAGTGCATCCCTATTAGAATTTCTCGGGGGATGTTTTATGTTAAACACTGTAGAAACAGATTTTTTGTTTTAGTAAAATACGGGAGTTTTTGTAGACTGTCTGCATATGCATGTTACTGTGTTCTTTTAAGATGCTTTTCTCCAAAGTCAATTCTTGTTTGTTTGGAATGATTGAACATTCTTGTTGCTAAGAAACATGAATTTTCTGTCTAGAAAATTTCTAGCAGGATTTGAAATTCCTCTTGGAGACTAGTGCAGTCTTTTTGTTGTTGCGAAATAACTATTTTGGTCAAACTCTGTAAATTGAATACACGTGCTTTAGTACATACTCCTGTCTCTTCTGAATTCAGTTTTATGGTTATTTTTAAAATAATTTCTGTGATGAAAAAATGTGCCAATGAAAAACATGTAGGTATAGTGTACTTTTATGTATAGCTTAAAAGGGAAACTATCCTCATAAGTAAAATGGATTATTTGGCTGGAGGCTTATGCTCTGTTAGTAATCAGCAACTACATGGGTCTTCTGTTTTAGTCTGGGGGTTTGTTTCCCAAAAATGATTCTGCTCTAAAACTGGAATTTAATTTCCATAGAAGAATATGTGTGAATAAACTGTGCCTTTTTAAATTCTCTTCAGGACTGTTTAAATGTAGGGCTCTTTTCATAACTATGGCTGTGGGACTTTACAAATAATCTTAAATATCACAAAATGAACAGAGGGTGAGATCTATGATGATTTCTCCTATGCCTGGCTCAGACTCTGACCTGCATGTTTATAATAATTGAAAACAATTCCAACAGCCAGTGTGGACCAGCAGTATTTGGGATTTTTCTGTGGGTATGGAGTCCATGTTGGGAAGGGTTAATGTGCACCTTGCAGTTGACAGCGGTGCAGCTCCTTCACCTGCTTGTCCCCCCGCAGGCCATAGAGGGTGCTATCGGTGGCAACGCCTACCAGCACAGCAAAGTGAACCAGTGGACAACGAGCGTGGTGGAACAAACCCTCAGCCAGCTCACAAAGCTGGGGAAGCCCTTCAAGTACATCGGTGAGCTCAGCTTCCCCTTTTCTCTGAAAGCTGGCACAGTCACGTGCACCAGTAGGCAGGGGGTGGGGGAAGATCTTAGGAAGAGCCTCGTCTGTAAACTGCTCACAAGCATGCATGTTTGCTTGTGTATGTGTGTGCTAAGCTGAGCAAAAATGTAATTAATGTGTGTGAGAAATTAATCAAAGATTCTCTACTGACTAACAGTGACCTGTGTGATTATGCAAAAGAATGGTGCTGGGCTACATACAGCAAGCTCTTGCTTCTGGGACAACTCCAGTGATGGTAAGGAAAACAACTCTTGGATTTTCCAACTAGCAGCTTAATGCCAGTCTCTTTAAGACAAAGCAGCATACTTCCCCCCCCACCCCAAGTCTGTAGTTTTGGAGTAATAGCATACTGTTAGGTATTTTTTCCATTTGGCTGTGGTGCTAACTGGGCTGTAGATGAAATGCTTGGCTGCTGTGAAAGCTTTGTTATTAAGATTCTTAAAGGAAACAAGTATAAAAATGCATATAGGGGCATGCATGTAATCACTTTAACTTCCTTCTGTTTCTGAAACCCTTATTTTTGTATTTGCAGGAACCTGCACTGTGAGATGGGAGAACAAGACCATGTACTGTATTGTCAGTGCCTTCGGACTTGCATTATAATTGCCTTGTTCATTCTTCTCTTTTCTATTCCAGCACTTGATTCCATCTCCACTCAAACTGTGAATACCTGAACTTGTTTTTAATGCATTTTTAGTAACTTTTCTTCAAAGGTAGAAATTTGAAAACATGCTGTTACCTGTTTTATGTTTGTACCTAGTACCATACCAGTGTTTTCTATACTTTTTTATCACTTAAAAACTTCTCTTCAAGGTGCTAATACTGAAATCTGCTGCAGTATAAACACTTTCTCTAGATTCTTTTCTTAGACCAATATAAATGAGACACTGACTTTCACACTTTGTATTTTTGGTTAGCATTAAATTATTGAAATTCATAACCATTGGTGTGATTAATTTAAACTTAAATCTTTTGTCATTGGGGGGGGGAAGTTTCAGTTTTTTCAATTCTCTTCAAGATAGTCAAGGTAAATACCACAGTGCAAAGCACTTTCATAATTTTGCCAAAGTTACTACAAAGTTGCAAGAAAATTAGATTATGTTTATCAAAAAATAATTTGGCTTTTTTGGGACCTGTTTAATCTTTTTGTATGGTATTTAGAGCATGGAACAATAACTACCTTCATTGAACAAAGACAGGTAAGAAATTTTTCACATTCTGGAATGCTCAGCAAGCTATATCTGGGTAATCATTCACTTCTGCAGTCAGTTACATGAGTTAAGTAGGTCTTGAACTGACTTGCTACAGGCCATGTTAATTTTGCTGATAGTGAGAGTGATGAGTTCTGGTAGCTGATGAAATGTGATCCTTTCTGAAAGGGGAAAAAGCTGCCTTGAGGCGATTTGACTAAATAACACTGAGTAAGTCTCCTGCCTTCTGGAGTAAAGTTGCAGAAGAATAACAAGTAAATACGTGTTCAGCATAGGCTTGGGCAATGTTTTGTCAGCTAATTAAAGAAATAGGAGCGTACTATGAACGTCAGAAAACCTGTACCAACAGCTGTGCTGCTTCTGCAAGCAGTAGCTCACTGCTAATGAAGCTGAAAGAGTTACAGAGCCATGTGAGAGAGCATCCCTGGGCTGGAGTCAGTTTGAGCAATCTGTGATTTGCTTCTTTGTAGGAAGCCCTGTCTAATGTGTTCAGAATCTGGCTCTCAGCTAGAGCTGTTTAAGAGAGAGCTGATTGCTAATACAACAGTGATTCCACAATCTGGAGAGATTTCATACTAAAAATTCAAGTGGCAGGAGCATTTGTTTGCCATAGTGTTATGTGCTCTGTGCTAACTCTGCTCAGTGTAGTCAGACTGTGGAAAGCCCTGTGCTAGGCAAGGTTTTGACCCTCTTCTTCCCAATCCATATCTGCTGTCAGAAGAGCAAAACAGGGGTATGTATCAGCAGCTTTGGGCTTGGTGCATTTGAGACTTCTAATAGAGCTGTAAGGCTTCCATATTTCTGCTGACATTCCATATTTCTGCTGACAGCTCTGTAAATGCATCTCCTTCATGACAAGCCACTTCATTCTTTTCACATATGTCCTAGTGAGTGCTACAGGCTATACACCCCTGTGTTTGTATATACCTGAGCCTGAGGAGCACATCTCTTACGTTGCTGTAAGAGAGCTTTAGTACACATCCAGGCTTCAGTCAGAAATGATACAACACCTGTAAAAAGAAAATATTAAAAGCAGATTGAATAACATGCCTAAAACAGTCATCAAGGTCAGAGAGAAACTTGTCATGAAAAGAATAAATCTTGCTCTCTTGAGTTGCTAAGGAAGGTTTTAATCTGGATGCTTAGATACTTTTTCTCCTTTCCATCATGCCAGAATGATGCTGGCAGTGTAGTACCTACTGAACTATTTCTTTACTCTTAAAATAAACAGTTTTGTGCACTTTGAGTATTTGCTTCTTGGTCAAGCCATCCAGATATTCCATGTTCTTTGTTCATGTTAAGAATAGCAAATCCCTTGATCTTTTGGTGTTTTTTGGTTCATACATATGCTGACCTGCACAAAAACCCCAACAAATGTTTGAGATGCTTGTCAGTGTAAAGGCTGCATGGGAGGAGAAACCCCTGTTGCATTAAAACAGGAGTTGCATTACAGAAAGGCAGATACAGTTTTATAGATGGTTTAAAATGTGAGCTATAACTAGTACTTCCAGTATAAGTTCTAGGACTACAGAAAGGGGTATAGAGCCTGTGGATTTTTGGGTGTTGGTTTCCCCCTCCCATGATTCAAACAGTGCTCTTCTTTAAAATTGCATGTTTTGGTGTTCTACAGTAACTGATTTTTAAATTTTCATTTCCTTAGTTTTAAGCACTTTTCCAGCCAAAGTAAAGCACTTGGGTGATGAGCTGGCAGAGTCCTGGCTCTAGGTAATTAATTTGCCTTAAAAAAAATAAAACTGTGGATGGAGCAGTCAAGGTAATTATACAGTCAGTCTCTGCTGTCACTTGCTTATTGCCGTGGCTCTTCATATGATTACAGCTACAGAAATGGGGGGCATGGCAGCACCAGTCTGTAGGGGAGGAGGAGGAGGAAGAGGAAGGGGAAGCCTTTTACTGTTGCTGCCACAGAGGAGTCTGACCTGTGTTAACTAAAACCTAAGGAAATGGCTCCAGGATTAACTGCTGCTGCTAAAAGACCACCACCGTATCTGATACTACAGCCAGGAGTAAGCTGCGTATCCATTTACACAGGGAAGTTTGTGGCCATTTTGTTCAGCACAGATTTCAATCTCACCTGGAGTTGGTATAAGAAATGGCATCACCCCAAACAGCATGTGATGTGCTGATCGCTTTTGCAGTCTACCAGCTATGAGCAGACTTTTGGGAGGTAGAGTTGTAAGAAGTTGATGAACGACATCAGCATCTTCACTCTCTCTAAACCTGTTTTTTATTACTGCTATTAACATTCACCAGGAGAATTCTCACTGCCAGCATGGCCACAGCAGGCTTTGCAAAGCTACTGTGAAGCCATTTGAAAATGCTAGGTCCCTTATGTAACCTGGCTGGCGTATTTAAAAAACTTAGCAACCTGTCCTTCCACCTTCAAGCCTGGGCAAGGTAATAAACTCCCCCCCCACCCCAAAACAATCCAAAACATCTGCGATGACACAGTTTAAGGATCCCAGCCTTAAGCAATTAACCAAGCTTAAATACGCATATGCATAAAAAATGTATGTAAACTGAAAATATGAGTAAGTCATGAAAACAGTTTATGAGAAGGAAACTAAAATTCAGTACAAGGAAAATAAACCTAGGATACAATATAAAGATATAAAACTTTATTATGAACATATTTAACAATGATTATGCACATAAAGTCTTCCAAGAAACTTCCTTGAAGTAAAATATTCAGTTTTCCTTCATATTCCACATTAGCATGAAGTTTTACAACATAAAGGCATAATTTGCTGTTATTAGCACAACTTACAGATACACAGAATATTTAACAGGTCCTCATGCACACTTTCTCAAAGCAGCATTTAATTACAGCTTCTCATTAAACAGAGCATTTATCTTACACATTTTTATACCATTTTGGTATACAATTTTTCCGTATTTTCATTTTACATATTTACAAACTCCTAAAAAATGTTTTACAGTAATGCAAAAGTTATTACTGGCATAAGCAAAAGGAAATGGGTGGGGAAATCAAGTGACTATGGATGAAATGTTGTCATTTGGCTCAGAGAAAGACTACAGATCGAAGTCTTTCCTAGCTGGAACTGTTCTCCCCAGTACTGGTACCACAAATCCAATGCACAAGCTGTTTCTCACTGGTGTTAAGCCTTAGGCTGCCTCTTGGCCAGTCCTAGGAAAGTTTCCACCAATTTCAACACCGACTGTATTTGTACAGCAAATACTACAGAAAGTAGTTGGTATGACTGGCTTGCACTCAATTATTGATTTCTTAGAAGTCCCTTGTAATCACTGTGTACGTGGAAGTCTTGCAGTAATTAATGGATGATGTCTCCCTTAGAGCCAGGATCACTGTGTGCAGTGGGGCCTTCCTGTGTACATTTCTTGTTTTGTACAGCTGCAGTAGTGATGCAAATAACTACTTCAGCAGTAATAAAAGGAAAGCAAGGCTAGCTTCTTAAAAAGATTTCTTCTGTTTGACCCTTAGATTTCAATACTTTACTCAGAGGTGAATTTATGCCACCTACTCCCAAGCTGTTTACAACCCATATTGGAATATTCTTCAAATACTGTCTGCTCTCCAATCATGGAAATAAGAGGAGTCTTGCTAGCAAAACCAGTTTCTCATCTGCTTCACTGCTTTTGGCATCTTACTGTATATTGAATTTGATGCAACAGTGATTCAACCAAGCTACCATAACACTGTAGCACTTCCAAAATAGAAAGCTATTTTGCATGGCAAACATTGCTTAAATATAATCTCTAAAAATGACCACAGAAATTATTTTCTCACTATTTTCATAGTGAGATACTTCAAGTACACATTTCCCATTCTAAGCTTTTCTATTTCCACTTTGAATGTAGTGATGTAGTGAAGTGAAACAAAACTACAAGAGAATTTGGTTGAAAACAGCTTAGAAAAAATAATCTCCAAGTTAGATTAAAATATGGTTTTAGTTAATGAAATCTCAAGGCATGACACTATTTGAGTTAACTGTAACAACCAGTTCAGACTTTGATAAGAAACAGTGGTGTACTTTGCACATTGGTCAAATTTTATCTTTTGTAAGAATTTCGGAGAGAATTAAACAATATCAGAGGAAAAATATCTGAGTATATAATAACCATGTAAATATCAGGTTTTGAAAACCTGCTTCCTGTACCCACTGTTACTCCAACGGAACTTGAAAGGATTTGGCTTATGTAAACAATGCCAAGTCTAATTCTCTACATTCAAATAGGGAGAGTTATCTCAGAAACAGTAAAAATGAGAATGGACTCTACAGTTTTAGGATACAGAGCATCTCCCATACCCTTTCAAAATAGTCTAAAAAGAAGTGCTGAAGGTACATTTTACTTTCTGTAAAGAAAACCACCACTTACTTGAATTACTTCTTTAGTGTTTTCCTATATGTTCTTCTAAAGTAATACCAACTAAGAAGGTAAAGGGAAAAACCTGCCCTTCCTCCCCAGCAATATCCTTGCTTTAGCCACACAAGAGTGCTTTGGCTTCTAACAAAGAAATGATCCCTGGCAAAAAAAGGTTTTAATTTCAGGTACTCTCCAAAAATTTCACATCTCCATATAATTTTAGAAAGTTTTCCTTCTCTCTCCCAGACGCACACAAAATCTCATGACACATTTTAGCAGAGCACTGTTTTAATCTGAACTATTCTATGACAACAAGGGCACAACCACATGAACCTGGAGTTCCTTTGGTCCTCTCTGAGTGAGTTGCTGCCTTGTGCAGCCTCCCCTTCATGATCCTGAACAGCCACCAGAAGGTCACTGCAATGGGCACGGTCTAGAGCAGTTGTTGCATTAAAGCAGAACAAATCTCCTTTTTCCCCAGTGTGACTCAGCAAGTCTAGCAGGACTTCATTGCACTATTCTGCTTAAACTGCTTTAATGATGAGCACAATTCCCTAGTGCAACCCAGCACCATCATGTAGTAGATTAACAGTGCTTTTGGGAATCTTCTAAAGCAGCAGGGCAGAGAAATTATTCAAGAGTAAATCTCTGTTGTAAGTACATGAAAAAAGCAGATACTTTTAGAAACGTCAAGTATCTGAAAACAAAAGTAGTTACAAACAAACATCTTAAATAAAGAACTGAACAATGGTGTAGGAGAAAACCAACTTTTAAACAGAGAAGCAGCAGCATTATACAAGGAATACTTCATTCCCATATAACTTTGTTCCAGCACAGACTGGAATACAGATAATCACAACATGTGCTAGTAAAAGTTCCCATCATACAGGTGGCGATTGGTGTGACAAAGAAGCTGAACTGTGCACAGAACATGCTCACAAGCTGACTCTCAGGCACGTTCAATACATGAGCAACCACAACTGTTCCTAGCATGTAGAGTAACTATCTAGAAATACAACTTTCAGGAAAATTGATGTCGGAAAAAAATCTCTAAAAATGAAATGTTTGGAAGTTTGAAACTGTAATTCCTTAGAATACTTTCATACTCTTATTCTCTGCAAGTAACCATCTCCTTCAGCATACAGGAAGACCAGTAAAAACGCAGTACTGGCTTCCTTCTGAGATTCGTTGTGGCTGAAATAATTCCATTTGAAAGAGCTGTTTTAAAAAACCAACACAGACACTTCTGCTGTGGCAGTAAAGCATGTCATGAAACACATAATTATACAAATAATTTTGCACCACTGAGATTATTTTGGCTCAGCTCACTACAACTTGCCTATTTGCCCATATCTTGCACTTATAAATCTGGTAAACTTACTGAAATGTATTTTAAAAATGGCCTTACGTCTATATCACTTATTTGAAGGAAGAATAGAAAGCTTGTGTCTTCTTGCACTGATTAAAAAAAAACCAAAACAAAAGACCTGATTCACTGCCTCCAGCTCAAAAGGCTAAGGTAGAAAATTGAAAGGGAAATGAGGCACTTCATACCATGGTGGACAGTATAACAAAACAGCTAATGCAAAATGCAACAGATTAATGGCAGTATGCTGTACATCATCCTAAAGAGAAAAAACAACAACAACAACAACAAAAACCCAAAAAAACAAACAAAAAAAACCCAAAAACAAACCCCCAAACAAAACAAAACACCCAAAAAAACCAAAACAAAACCCAAAACTGAGCAGCAAGGAAGCAATTTGAAACTCAGTATACAATCTGCGAGACTTTAAAACGGAAATAGATGAAGATTTTAGTTCACAGACATCTTGCTATTAGGCATTTTATAAGAATGTACAAATTTTGGTTTCTTCAGTTTTCACCACAACCATTTCCATCATTTGTTTTCTCAGTTTTATCCTTGTAAACAGAAACAGAAGCAGGATGTCCCTGGGAACTGGGGTTCAGATGACAGCAGACTGTAGGAACCCAAAGAAGTTGCCCACCTAGGAAAACTTCAGAAGTGGCTGTACTCCAGATGCACAAGTCTGTCTGCATTGAAACCAGTCAATCAATCACTGTCAGACTCTTCTTTATACTTGGCTCTAATAGCTTGGCCGTTCTGAAGAGGCATCTCTTCATAGTCACTCCTGTGAAACAGACACGTGTTGTGACTTCTCAACATGGTGTTCAGATTGGAAGTTGAAAATAAAGAGGAAAGTTCTAAACTACATTGAGGCATCAAATTGTTACTTGGGTAAGAAGCTGGTATCTGTTTTTCTTCCTTGTGGGAGCTGTGAACAGCACAGGATTTTCCTCCAGAGGATGATGCATAATAAAAGTTATTCCAGTGAAAGCCATTTTTCACACAGAATAGCAAGAAGCAAGCTGGCACTACCACTACTTATCTAACTAACCAAAGGCAAGCTATCCCAGCATGAACTTGTTCAGGTTACTGCAGTGTTGGTCCCATCCTCACTTCAGCATCTTTGGTAAGAGGTGAAAACATCTCGGGTGTATTTCAGTGTCCAGCACAAAGACACCTGATTGGGATGGGTCTCAAGTGCTACTGTAATTCTCGTATCACATAAAATCATCCAACTCAAGGAAGTTTTGCTAGACTTGATTATTCTTCATTCAGTAAGGGCTGGAGACCCAAAATGGGCCACTCTCCTTGCCTGAAGCATTTACATATGAGATGGCTCTTTGCTAATTCCATCTGACTCCTGCAGTCCTTCCCAGTGTAAAAAGGAAGCCCCTTCCCTTCACAGCTCTTACTGCCTTCACTTCATGAGCTACCAGCATCATAATACCTTCTTACCTGTTTGCTTCAGTGTCATGGCAATCCCTTTTAAAAACCAAAACAAAGAAAAAAAAACATGCATTCTCATTGTATTTCTGTTTCAGAAAAGGCTATACTTCTATTCTTTAGGCAGAAAAACTTTCATTAACAAACCTTTCACTTAATTAATATGTAAAAGAATATTACAAAAATAACACACCAGAAGTAACTCTCCATAGGTATTTTTTAATCTTACCCATAAATCACATCGTCATCTGAATCATTCAGCATAGAAAAAGCAGGATTGTCTTTCAACTGTGATTCTGAAAAACACAAATAAGGGTTAATTTAGTGTGTTAAATACATGTGACTGTAGTGCTAACTCAATATTGTAGCAACAGGCACAACTTCCAAGGCAGTCACAACCACAGTTCAAAAAACTATATCTAAACAGGAATTCTCTCCTTTAAATTCACTACCCTTCAGTCACATAATTATAGTGTTCTTAAGAGTTAAACAGACAACATAATTATCTAATTTTTAGATAAATATTCTCCATGTTGTCTGAGTTAATTTCCTCCCCTGTGCAATTTCCCATGTCATATTTTGACCTCCACATAAATTGATTATTCTTAATCAAAATTTCATATGTATTTAAAAAGCACTTCTTGATTAATTTCTAAGCTAAAAATGTAGTAGACCAGAGTTGGAATCCCTTGACTGCAGTGATTATCCAGTGATTATCTAGTTATTCTCTATCCTTGAAAGAGATGAAGGAACAACTTGTACCTTTATGGTGAGATGAAAAGAAACACATACTTTCCAACTGCTATTTATGACAAGTCCCTCTAGCTTGTTTTAAGGGCTTAATTTCTTGCATAATCTGTGCTGCTTAGCTGCAGTTAATAGTTATATGCAAGTAAAATTCAATCTAGCAATTTGCCATAGCAACTTTTTCCTGGCAGCATTTTACCTTCTGCTGTCTACAAACAAATACTTCTGCAACCCAGCAGAAGGCTTCCAACTTTATCTGCATCCAGCCAGTTCTTCTTCCATTGGGGATGGAAAAATAGCATTTTTCTGGAACAGTTTTGTCCATCTCAACTCTAAATTAGAGAAAGGACAAGCTGCACTATTTAGTGCCTTCTCCCTGCAAGCTCTCAGCATACAAGACACGATTGGACAGGTTGCTAGATAATCTCATCTAGGCCTCCTTTCCCATTAAAGGCTGGGCCACATCATCTTTCCAGGTCTCTATCAACCTGGGCTCTTCTATGGTTCTGCACCTTGAACAAAATGCTTAAAGCAGAGAATATACTCAGTAAAAATATTTATTTTAATGATCTTTATCTTTTAGTGAGGGAAACGCTTCATAATCATCATGTGAGTCAGACTGTGTCCTTTATGTCACAATGCAAAACCAGAATTGCCACTGACTCAGTCCTTTGTCCCTGCTTACATGGGCCCTGTGCAGCCCTCCCCATAGAAAGTTCTCCAAAATTTCTCCCATATTAGAGATCACTTTAACTCCTATTTTCCCAACAGCACTTGGATTTCAGAGTCCAGTTTGCCAGCATGCCGATGTATTAATTTTTGTTAGAACAAAGTACAAATGAAGTGATGTTGTTCCTTAAGGGCTGTCTGTGAGTCACCTCAAATGTTGGTGCATCACATGCAAACATCATAGTGACTGTAAACTTGATCTAAGTGCACAAGAATTCAAGCTCAGCTAATCAGTTGATTACATTTTATGTGTTCCTTCATATTTCCAATACTAATTTGCTCAGGAGCAGTGACTGCAGCTTCTGCTTATGTTAACTCAAAGCAAACCAGAACAGTAATGAGACAACCAGAATCCAAAGGCATTGCACAGCATCTGCTAGTATGGCAGCTCTTGTCATGCATGTTGCCAGACAATGGCTCACACTTACCATACAGTGCATTCTTCGAGGGGGAATACACAAAGGCTAATGTGTAGAGATAAAAGTTCAATAACCCATAAAATGATAAGAATTCTGCTGGTACTAAGTGTTAAGGATATTGCTCAATATAGTTCCATACATATTAACTTTGGAAACAAGACCCAACCCATACACAGGCTGTTTCAATGGAAAGAATGTTTACCTTAAGTTTGTGAACATGAGTGGCTAAACAAAACTGCATGTTTTAAATTCAGTAACAACTAATGTACTCAACCTATTTCAAGGTAAAGCTCCCACTGGAAACAAAGCTTTAACACAAGTAACATTTGCTGAGGCATAGTCTGCTCTTGAGCAGTGGAGTGTATGGTCAATCAAATAGCTCTGCCTTGAATACTGAAAGAAAGCAGAGTAAGTTGGGTGTTCAGGTGGGTTTGGTTTGGTTTCGTTTATTTTTTAAAAAGTTCTTCCTTGGCACAGAGATGAAGAAGGAAGGAGAAAGGACTATATGTGGAGAGAACTCTGAAGATGGTTTCTTGCCATTGTTTTAGGTCAATACTAAAGGTTTTACACATTGTTTTCTCCTACCTCCCAACTCATATCTAAGCTAATCAGCAACCAGAGCAGCTGCAGTCACACAGAGCAAGGACCTCATGGTTAAGGGCCAGGAATACAGGTCACAATCCTGCTGGCAACAGACATCAGAAACAGTCCTTCCCAAGCCACTTAAATTCTCTGTTGTGACCTGTATCACATGTAGACTTGGACCAATACACAAATGCATTTTCAGTGACATCAAAACTATTAATTTCTCATATTTTAATATGCCCCATGACAACTGGTAAGTATAGAGCAAACAACTGAGGCAGCAAACACAGCCAAATTTGCCATAATATCTCATTAAAATTAGTTAGATATGCATAAGGTATGCATATCTAAGACTTCATTCCTCTTGGAGAGTATCATGAGCAGTTGTGATGCATGTCATGTGGACACACTAGACTGAGACAACTTTTACAAGAGCCATGGCAAAATGCTGACACGAAATCTCAAACAAAACAGACTCAGCTATGAGAGTCCACCTAGAAGGCAAAGGTCTCAGTCTTAGGTACATCATTTTAAAGCACCTTCTGCATGAAAACAGATTAACATTCCTACTTGAGCAGTATCACAACACAAGGATATAGTTCTGATAATGAGTTGACAGCTCAGCAACAAAGTTGTCCTGTAGAACTTGTGCTCCAAAGCGTAGGTAGAGTATAACAATGCTGTGGAAAAAAAATAAAGCATATAGGTGTACTGTGCCTTTAGGCTGCAAAATTTAAATAGTAGGTTGATAGAAAAGTATATGAGAGCGTAATTATGTTAACATGCAGACCATTTATTTTAAGATACATTTGCTTAGCTAGTTCTAAATTAAGAATGATCCTTTTGTGATTAAAAGTTAGCACTCAGCTGAGAAAAGCAGAAATCCTCAGATTTCACCCACTACAGACAATCCAACAGTCAACAGCTATTTGAAATAACAGCCTGGTATAGGGAAAACAGATATTAACAGTAATGTAAGAAATTAACAGTAGACTTCTGCTTTGACTAAGTGAAGCCTACAAAGCTCCAGAAGAGCTCTGCCAAGTGAACTTCTAAATCTTGTGCACTGCCATGGTAATCAAAATAATATAAACTTAGCTCAAAAAGCCTCAGAAGGGTTAAAAAATTAAGAAATGCTTGCCATCACAATAATATTAAAAGGCATTCTTCAGTTTCATTGACTAACTTATTACAACAAACCGTATTCAAAGCCCTGAAAAAAAGGTTAAAAAAGTTAGAGTACTGACAAATGTACTTTGAAAAGCCTTACCTAATGACAAGCACTACAAAGGTTAATGCAGTCAAGAATTTTAACCTGAGATCTGAAAAAGATTGAGAAAAGTTGCTATCAGTGAATTTACACCTACATCTAGGGGAAGCAAGCCTGTTTGGGAAGAATCAAAAGAAGTATTCCTTACCAACATAAGGCATGTTTCGAAGTTCTGAGCATGCCCTCACTATCAGGAACAAAAGGTAGAGAATGTATGTGGTTGCCACCACAAGGAAGAAGATTTTCATTCCCTATAAGGAAAGTGTTACATTTTATTATTTAAAAAGATTTCATCTATTCCTTCTTCTGTCAATAGAAATAATTAGTTCCCAAAAGCACAACATAGAATGGTCCATTTATACAGGGAAAGTAGGCTCATGAAACAAGGATGGTGATACATCCAGGGAGGATTTTGGGGAATGTAAAGAAAGGATGCTTAATAAAAACCAGGATTTTGTTAACTGAGTTCAGAGTTGGCAGAATATCAATAATTCTCTGAAAACACAGCTCCCAAGAACAATACAAGGACCCCTGTACATCAAATCTTCCTTTACAACAATAAAGTCTGAAATGTACTAGGGATGGGGACCTTGGCGGGAGTTAAGAGGTACAAAACTGAACAACAGACTAAAAATTTTTTCTTTCAATCCCAAAAAACTAGTGGTGTTTAGTCTCCAGATTTGCAAGACAATTTACTTTTCTCAATGTGACAGATATCAATATGGTGTATTCATGATCTAAAGCAAAAAGTACTTTTTTGCTTTAGAAAGTACTCTAGTCAGAATAAGACTGTCTGACCAGCATTTTCTGTTTTCTAAACTGTGTTATACATTTTTATAAAAGAAAAGGCTGATATCTCCTTATATTGCCTAACTGTACCTGACAATTGGACAGCAAGAAGTAAGTTTTGACTTACCTGGAAATTACCTGTGTCAACCCTGTATTGATATGTAGGGTCATGTACTTCATTCACCCTAGAAAAGATTCAAAATTAAAAAGTGGTATTAAAAATGCACAATTCCAAAGTTAAAAAGACATGCTGACCAAGAAACCCACTCACAAAGAAAAGGTTTAAGGTTACTATGTACAGCTTATAACAAAAGGGTTTGGCTGGGTAAGTTGGTGCAATGCCATTCATTCCAATGGAGTCATGACAATTTACCACATATAGCAAACTAAATTTGAAGAAATACGGAGGATTTAAATTGGGATCATGTCTAATCTCCCCACTTGTTTTTTAGAAAATGTGTATAATTCCTACAAGCCTTCAGGATTCTTTCAAGTCTTCACAATACAGTGTGAAGACTGATAATATCCTTATCTAAGGATAAAATTCTACATTTTATCCTTAGAAAATTGGTGCATGAGGCCTTCCCTCATAGCAATTTTACTAATAGCATGAGCATTTCCTGCAAATGCTTTCAAAAATGTACAACGGCAAGGAGAAGGTTAGAAGGTATCTTCCTTCTGAGAGATAAAATAAGGGACCAACACCTGAGACTAAAACAGTGTAAAACTACAGATGTACTAAAATGGATGAAGTTTTCTGGGTAGGGAAGAGTGACACCTTTAACACAACAAACTGGAAAAAAGGGAGAATCACTAAACCAAGCTAAATAATAGAGTTCTGAGTAAAGACAGCATAGCTTGACTAAGCCATGTCAGTACCAGTGGTGCAGGTTTAATAGTCAAGAAAGTCTGGTCAAACTATGTCATAATTAGCCACAGAGAAACTGTTGCTTCAGCTACTCAATTAGCTACAAATACTAATTGAGCCATAGCACTATTCTTGTAGGGAGCCATAACATACTGACAAAGTAGAATGATTTCTACTCATGACATGAGTGACATGACACTCAGATTTATGAAATTAATTACTACTAGGTTGTCCATGGAGAAGTGTTTTCAAATCAGTCACATTTTGCAGAACAGAGAGATGAAGAATTTGAACTCCATTCCTGTATCACAATCCGAGCATTAAGAAAAAGATACCACCAGGTACACACAGTATTCTCATTCTTGAACACTCTCAGCTCATTTTGTGCAATACATTTTAAATTACTTACGTTTGCCATATTCCCAGTGTAACAGAGGCCAGCCACAACAGTCCAACAATAAAGAATTTGGGCAGATAGAAAGTTAAGCACTTCCTTTCCCCCTGTCAAGAAAACAATAGTGTGGTGAAAGTGTGAACCCATGCTTCAGATTTTATTCGTTCTTTACAAAATAACTGTCATCTTTGTTTCACTCAATGTGAACTGGATTAAGAGACTCATCTTTTGTATTTTTATCCTGCACAAGTGACTAGAGAAGACATTATGTTGTATCCTCATTTGTGTTAATAAGATGAATTAGAGTTGGAGCATCCTATTTATAAGGTCCCACATATTTCACTGATAATGCAAATATAGGCTCCAGAATTCCTATTTCTCTTATGTAGTATTTTAAATTAGTTTAAAAAAAACAATCAACTACCACATATAACACCAAAACCCTTCAAGCAAGAATGAAGCATAATGGCATCATAATTCTGACGACTGTCTCATCTATTGCATTTAGGCTTGGTTGACTCAAAATAATCTACTTCACCATAAATCATTCTAACTCCAAAGCTTCATATGTCACATTGTACTTCATGAATAATATAAATGTTTGTTTTTGTAAGAATTTGATTTCATTTTTGTCACCTTTTGAGAGAACTGAACAAAACAAGTCCTGTCTCCTCAGTAAGTAGAAGATACTGTTGCATCTCTTACCTGTACTCTTATACCATGGTAAACACAAAGCCAGAACAACAACAATGCACACAGAAACAGTGACTGGAATAGATCATCGAGCATTCCAGGAAACCAGCTGTTCACCAGAAAAGAAAGGGGGAAAAATGGATCTGTAACAAAACAACAACAACAAAAAAAAGGTTAAACAAAGAGGAAAAAAAAGCCTTTCATTATGAAAAGTACAGCAGAATCTAACTTCAGCAGAACAAAAAAAAAGCCTAGATTTTTTAAATTTGCCCCAGTAAATGAAACTGAAGCTTCCTTTATTTTAAATAAATTAACAAAGAAAATGGTGCCTCCAGCAGCAATCCATTCTGCCGTAGGAATATTCTTGAATGGTTGCCAACATTTCTAGAGGATTTTAGGTTTTATTAGACTTTCTATTAAACCACTGTTAAGGGTGACAATCTAAAAAATTATTGTATAATGACTAAGATGCAAATATTCTTTTGGTACTGCTAGAAAGTGCAGAATTTTTTTACTGGACCAAAAGTAGCCTCCATTTTTAACTAAAGTGTGAATATCTGAAAAATGAAGACAGCAGACAAATAGAAATTGAAAGGTTAAGTATGGCAAGCACCTATTCCAATCAGAGCTTTAAATAAATAGTTGACATCCATGTGACTGAGAAGAACAAAATCCACCCACTCATGCCCTTGAATTTGCTACACTTGGAAAGGGCTGGGTTTTTTTTAAATTTAGTTTTCTGAAGCTTTATAAACAACTGCTTATAAGTTCAAGGAGAAATTCCATTTTGCCTCCTCTTTTTGTCTTTTCCTTTTCTGCTTCTGTTTTAAAATGGTGCCTTTCCAAAAATTCAAGGATACAAGTACCATTGTAAAGTAGCAAGAGAGGAAGTAGGATGGACATCCATTTCTGTTCAATACCCCAGTCTCTCATGGAGAATTTCCGCAGGGAATGTGCAAACAGACACTGTAAAACAACAACAACAATTTGTAAGGAAGGAATACAGCCTTCAATGGTTTAACCGGAGCTAGGACAGAGTTGAGCACACTGCCAAGGCTACTTCATGAGGCCTTTGCCACTGAGAACAATGTAAAATGGACACCAGGTCTCCTAGTTTCTATTTCAAGTTTGCTCGCTGACCCCAATGCAAATTACTTTTTTCTCAAGCAAACTGGGAAGCAAAGCAGCCAGTACCTGAAAATCAACAACGTGTGAAAAAAAAGGATGTTGCCTCATTACTGGTCACACACTACCAATGACTTCCACTTGAACTCACTTATTAAAAAAGCAGATTGCATTTTATATTCACAATTACCTGAGCAACATCATCTGCAAGAAAAATGCTATGGAAGCATGTAGTATTGTGGTGTCCCTATTCTGAAAATTCAGGATTTTAGATTTTATGTTGGCTTTTTTTCCAAGCACTTCTTTTCCAGGAGCCAAGACAGGTTAGAGAGGAGACATCATCTAAATCATAGCATAATTTAGGTTGTAAAGGACCTCTGGAGGTCATGTGGTCCATGCTCACATGCAAGGCAGTGATAACTTTCATGTCAGATCAAGGTCAAGCAGCCCACACTCTGGCCATCCTATTCCTGAGCCTACCTACGCTGCAAAATAATACTTTCCTTTAGTCATCACAATTTCCTTTGTCTAAGCAATTTTTTTCTGTTTAATCCAAACCCAGAGTTTGGAAAACAAGTTTTCCCATTTATCCTATTTTCTTAATGTCCTTTCAATACCACTTGTATAAACATAAAACCAGCAACTACATAAGTATTTCAGAAACATTTTTACACCCAGCCAGTGACATGTCAACTTTGCTGCCTGGGGTTAAATTCCTAAACCAGCATTACAGAGTACTGTTATCAGCTGTCTACACAATAAACTCCAGAAAAGCTGCAAAAGAATCTTACCGTGACCATAAAAGTAAGAACTACAAAGACAAATCGGAACCATATCTCCACTTGTGAAAAGGTTGGATTGTAGGTCTTCCACTACAAGAAAACAGAAGAGCCCAATGAGTAATATTTTGACAAACTACATATGACATCAATAACCAGCACTTTACTGCAGATACTGAAAAGTTCTGTGGCTTTTTAAAACTTAAAGGTATAACCAAATTCCACTGTGTCACCATGGAAAAATAAAGACAAATTTGTAATCACAGGACTATCTGATAAAGAGATAAGAAAAGCAGCCTAATAGCCCTGCTTCTCTTTTATCCTGCCACTTCCTAACATAGTGCTGTCTTATGTTAAAGCACTCTCAGGACAAACAGGATAGTCGCCATTGATCTCAACTGCACTTTCAATCTAAGTCTGAATGCCAATATATGAGTAAATCCAGCATGTTGTTCGGTACTACCAGGGTCAGATGCATAAATTGATTATGAAGAAGTCGGAAAGGTACAGGTGTACCTCCTGTCAGGAGTCTATGTTCTTAAAGCTTACTCACTTGTCTCAGAAGTTAAAAAAGAGAAAATCATGTAAAGGAAGGATAGGTAGCTTACCAGAAACACAGAAATCTTTACACAGGTTAAGGAGGAAAGCCTCCTTCTTCTACTCTAATTATTAGAAGGCATAGATATTAATTATAACATGTCAGTTTACATAAACTCTGCTCTGTTGACAATTAATCTCATACCTGGCATTCTTCTGAAGCCATTTTTGAAATGTAAGCTCCCTGGCACAACACATGCTCTGCTCATCTGAACGAGCTTTACCTTTCAATGTATTAAATCTGTCAACCTCTGTCTTGTCTTTTTAAACTGTAAATGTAGAACGAAAATTACATGTAGAGAAACCTATTATACAAAAGGCAATCCATTGATTTCAACTGAGATCACCAAAAACAATTGTAATAATGAAATAAATGTGAAAATTTTAGTTGCTGCAGGAAAGTTTGGGTTGAAGTTGTTTTGGGATTGCATACAGGTCTGCCTTAAAGGCAGCCTGCAGAAGAAGATAAAAAACTGTACAACTATAAATGCCCCAATACTATGTTCTGTTTGAAATCTGGAACTAAAGAAAGGGTTTGCAAGCCTAGGGGATTTTTCCCCTTAGAGCTTATTTTTAATTACACTCTTTATGCACTGGAGTATTAAAAATACTAATATTTAGAAAGTTAATTTGGTATGTTAAAAATATTTTTCCTTTACAGTAAGATTTTTGGTTGCTACCTGCTCTGACACAGTGAATGCTGTATACAGGTAAATATACCAGAGTAATCTATATTATAAACTTGGTTTAGTTCCCTTTTCTCCCAATGCAAGTGTTTCTAAATTGCTTTCTGGAGTCAATCAATACACATTATATAAGTGCTTTATAAGCAATCTTTAGCACTATTAACTGAGATAGTTATTCCACCGGAGAGCATTTGAGTGAATTATTTTAGTAACCTGCTTGTGTTAGCTGAAAAAAACCAATTCTCTTCTTCATAAGCACAGTGCTCCTCAAAAAAATCTCTTCATTTTCCTTTGACTTAGTTAAACCTTTCCAGTTCACACTTTTATGAAGTCTGGAAAACTTTGCTAATTCAAATACACCTCCTGGAGAGGCTGAAAACAAAATACAATCCTGCAGACAGGCAGCATCTCTATAAGGAAATGCAGAAAACTGAATGTTCTAATCTAGCTTGCCTATTGTAAAAATTATCTCCCAGCATTCAGATTAATTTATCTATTACAGAATACAGCAGCAGTAGTTCTGAGAGAATTTTTTTCCTTTTGGAGTTAAAAAATTTAGTCTTGACCCTTATCAACAGTAAATTCTATAACAGCTCTGACATCAGTAGTGACAGACAAAATAATTATGATGCATTTTTTAATTTATCTTCAAAAATCTGATACTTTTTTGTTACAGCTTAAGCACACTTTAATACAGCATTAAAGAGACTTCTTTTAGGAGACTAAACCTTTATACTTACTGTGAAAGTAATATTCTGGATGGTGGATGTTGTTAGCTTGTTCAGATCTTCAAAGCTAACAAATATGTTGTACTGAGTGTAGTTCAGGTAGCCCAGGTGAGCAACAATGATTTCACTGCATTTCTGTGAACACACACAGAGAATAGAAATTAGAAGTCTTCAAATTATTCCAGAATATGCGCTGTTAGTATAGGTTGGATAACTTGTTCCTAAATGGTCCAATATTGATTATATTTATTATATATATCCCACCAATCTCAGTCAGTCTAATCAAGATTTTCTTGAAAGGTACCAGAGAGAGCAGAAGAAACTGCTAAAGTGAGTCAGGTGGATCAGTAGCTGAACAATAAACCCAAATAAAAGTGCCAGCTTTTCACCTGAGCCAGTGACAGCAACTGCTTGCAGCACCAGGGTGGAACCAAATAACACTGTCAGTAACTCAAGCTGGTGAGATGGGCCTACCTTATACTAACTCATTTAAAAAGTTAACAGGAGAAAAGAGAAAAGCAAAGTATATTGCTCTCTTGACTATGTAATTAAATCTAATGGAGCAGTATTAATTAATTTCTGCAAATTTCATAGATATGTACATATATCTATATAAAAAGAAAACATTGATTTACTATATATGCTTATCATAAAAAACTTCAGCTATGTCCTTCCTAAAGGATTTGCATCCGGAGAAGCTGTTTTGAATGTCTTCAAGCTTAAAAATTTCAGTGAAAATCACATTAGAATCTCCAAATGTTTCTTCACACTGGCAAAAAATGTGGCTTTTTCAGAACACAGTTGCCAGCTGATTTCAAGCAGATGCTGCAAGGTGTTGGAGAAGGATTTTTCTCTCCTCTGGAACCCCATATCAAATCTTCTGCTACAACATCCCTTTCTTCAGTACTGCTAAACCTGTTTAGGTGACTGAACAGGACCCACTGCTTTCCTGACAAAGAGCAACTCTAACAAGAGGGGTCTTTAAGAGTCAACAGACACAAGTCACAGAACTAAACAGAAAAATGATGGACAGGAAGTTGTCAGCATTACTGCCTACGTTGCCATTATAAATAAAACTGTCCTGTAGAGTCTTTCCTGAGACATGTGTAACAGGTACATTCTTATTTGTAAATTAGCATGCACACATATTTAAAGAAAATGCCCTACATCAGAGTTTTGTTTAAGCAAGTGCATACCTGTGCACAACTGAGTAACCTTGTCCGATTGTGAACTTGGTTGTTAACGTATGGTGTGCTTCCATCCTTCACCACTCCCAGCACTCTGACTGTCATAGTCACATTCTTCTTGAGGGATACTGGAATTAAAACAGGAAACATTAATCTATTGCTACTTGCAGAAATTAAATCTCAAATAGAGTTCCAAAACTGTTTAAAACACATATGCTATCCAAATACTACTCAGACTTACCCAGCTATACATTACTGGAGTAGGGTACATATTTTTATACATAGGCATTAAGTCACAAGCCCTGTACTCAATCTACAGATAAACAATTACTAATATAGTATTTCTCACATATATACAGGGAAGTTGTATTGAAAAATCAATACCATTACAATCTACACATCTAATTGCCCCCAAAATGAAGAGGGAAATACACAGATTATCTAGATACTATTGTTTTCACAAAAATAACAAACAACTTGTCCCCTACTCCTGTTGCCTACAATTCAATCAGTGCTGTCCATCTCTTTATCAAGGGAGGGGGGTGAGGTGGAAGAAAAGCACATCAGAGGAAAAACCCACCAACCACAGCCAGAAAGCAACAGGATCATGTGTGTGACAGATGGAATTAAAGGTACAATAGACAGGTTGCTATAGCAGTTTCCTGAGAATTAGGTCAGATTCTCACCATCGTGCTGATCCAACTCAACCACACAGGTCAGCCACAGCTGCTGGTTGTAAGTTGACAGTGGTGGCGAACTTAAATTAAATGGCTTCAGCTGTAAAAAACCCCACAAGGTTAGCACCAGCCTTTACACTGCTACATGACATACCTGCAGTTACAATGATGAAAGGCATGCTAATTATGTTTGGGACAATGTTTTTGAGAAGAGATTTGTATGTGCTACTCTGTGGACAGCGTGATAAGCAGCTCACATAGAAGTCTTCCACAGAAGTAGCTTAAACAGCACACGTATTTTGCAAAGCACTGAAGTAAGGAAAGGTACAACTACCTAAACCTTATAAAAGCAGCAGCAATAAAACAGAAAAGTTCAGATGTGAAAAACAAAATCCTGAGGCCTAGCTTGAATATAAGAAATAATGTTTAGAACTTTACATCAAAAGTCAGATTTGTGGGCCTTCATCTGCTACATAGTCTTAAACTTTTTTAACTATAATTACAAAAAAGCCCTATTTTCCACTAGGTTTTCTAAAAATTCCACATTGAGTTCAAAAGAATGAAAGGTATCATTAACAGATAAAACCTACATGCAGGAAAGACTTCTCTAATGTGAAATCAAGATGTGGTTCCCACCCACAGTACTGTATCAATCTAAACATATATAGGTGACTGGTAGGTAAAAAAAAAAAAAAAAAAAAAAAAAAAAAAAAAAAAAAAAAAAAAAAAAGTGTCCCAGTGTATTAAAACGAAATGCATTTTAAGAAAAAACACACAAAAAAAACCTTTTTAGTCCTTTCACAAAAAATACTTTAGATATTAGGTTGACAATGAAGAGTTAGACAAACAAAAATGCAAGAACTGAGAACCAAAATATGAAAGTACTTGAGACTATGTGAATGTTCCTCTTAGGAAGCCAGATCCCACGTCTTGGTCACATGATAGCTAACAATTAACAAGAAATATTTCTTTACAGATGATAGAAAGGGAAATCACAAGAGGGATAGCATTAGTTGCCACTGAGTGCATTGTTTTTCAATGCATGTTCTCAATTTCTATTTCTGAACCTCCTATAAGAATCTGCAACATTAATTCACCAGGGAAAAACTCACATGCTTCTTTATCAGAAACTGCTGTGCAGAGACACCCTAGAAATCTCTATCTGACCTGCTCCCAACAGTAAGAGACCAGAAATTGCTGCTGGCTATTCATGAAGTAACACAGTGGTAGTACAATATTGCATGATCAGCTTCAAACTGGAAAGCACCACTAAGACATTCTGCAGTAAAAGTTTAAATATTTAAAATGACTGGGGGGAAGGAGAAAAATGTTTAACATTACCAACATCAAATAAAGCCATTCATATAATCCAACAATATTTAGTAACTCTTACCTTTAGGCTGTTATTTAAGTCAGTTCTTGCTACAGAAGTTTCAATTACATTAGGACCTACAAAATATATAAGAAGGAAGAAAGAAAATAATATTGAAGTATACATACAAGTGATGATGTAAATATAGGTCTTCAAAAGACTGTACAAAATACCTTTTGCAAAGAAGGTAAATGGTATTCCACTTTTCAGATAAAGGGTAAAGCACATGGCTATCTCAATATAATTTATAAATTTGACCTGCATGTTCCTTTAAGCATGTCTGCCATGGTACTTCTACACATCATTAAATAAAGTAAATTATAAATCAAGAACTCCATGTCAAAAGCCCTGAATGTGTACTCTAAACTACTACAATTTTAGTAGTAGTTTTTTATTCATCTACATTTCTATCTTTATCTATCTATATACATATATATGTCTCCCAAGATTTTATGGGAATGCAGAACCCCCTTGTTTAATCAGATGAGGCTGCTGAGGGCCATGTCCAGTTAAGTCTTTAACATCTTGAAGGACAGAGACTCCCACAACCTGTCTGGGAAACCTATTCCAGTATTTAACTACCATTACAGTAAGAAAAATGTCCTAACTGGAATTTCTTCTGCTCCAGCTTATGTTGCACCTCTGAGAAAAGCCCCATCTTCTTTGTAACCCCGATAAGATGGTTCCAGACAGCGGTACAATTTCCCTTTAAGAGCATGGAGTACTGAGGACAAGAGGAATGCACACGTGTTTGTGGTTTTATATACACAAAACACAAAAGGACTAAAGCAGGAAAGTGACAGGGAAGAGGAGGAAAACATCTGTGTCTACACAGCAGGTTGTGAACACACACAGAGAAGATGTATAGCAGGGACATGTGCAAGACATATACACCTGTACTTGGGCCAGGAAGATCCCTCTGTCCAAATGGTCTCTCCCTGTATATGTTTAGTCTGGCAATTTAATGGAATTTTTTGACCCTCAAAATATGCTCTTTCAATTGCAAACTCAGTACTATAAAAATTAAGCAAGAAAAGCAGTTTCTCACACAGACCAAACATTTCAAAGTTACTACAAAGAAAGAACGGAAAAGAAGGAAGTTTATAAATGAGCAGCATGGGATCACTCTGTCCAAGATGGATTAGCTGTCATGACAGCTCTAAACATGCAGCACTGCTTGGGCTCCTACAACCACTCTAATAACAATATTAACCATCTTACAGACTTAAAAGAAAAAATTAAGAATTTCAGCCATCACAGCTAAAATTTCATATAAGAATTGCAATGCAACATCACTAACAGCCACCCACTATAAAGTCAGTTCAGCATCATTGAACTTTTCAGCTCTCAAGTACATATAAACCAGATTTTTGAAAGGCATTTTTTGTTTTAAAAAGCAAAATTGAGTTTCAGTAAGTGTTCACAGTTGCTAAGTCATCATATATCAGTAATTAAGTCTTGACAAAACAACTAGAATTTGCCTTTTTAAGTGTTTTTATTTTCTTAATTGGATGATATGAACCAATACTGGGACAGAGAAATCACAGTCAAAGTTTTTAAGAACAGCAACCAAACAAATAATGAAGCTCTAGTGCTATAACTGCTTGTTCTCTAGCAAGTGATAAACAAAAGCTTTTGAAACAAAATGATGCTGTGGCTGTGTTACTTACAAATGTGGACTAATTAAAATAGTTACTGTTTTTCTTTTACTCTTGCTCACTTAACATAATAACAGATAAAGGCAAAGAACTACCCTGAGTTGATGAACTGCACAGCTACCAAAATGAGTTCTGAACCTTGGATTTTCTTTGAACTTGTCTCATCCCATAAATAACACAGACCCATTGTGAAAAGAGAAAGAAAGTGAGTGCAACTTGGAAAAAAGTCCAAACAAGTCTGTGTCTGTTTTGGGTTCCAGGAACTGTAAGAGCAGCATCTATCTCCGATCAAACGGTACTGATTTCTCAGATGAAAATCAAGAGTTCTGCCAGGCTTCCCAAACTGCAGGTACAGACGTTGACTGTGGGCAATGGCACATTTAAGTAGCACAGAAATATGGATGTATCTCCCATACTTTCATTTACTTAGTGGGTTTTGTGAGCTTTTCTCGGACTGTACCCTTTAACAAGGGAGCATTCTCTTGTTAGGGCCCCTCCTTCTACTCACAGGAAGCAAGCAGCCGTCAACAAAAGCCGTGAGGAATATCACAGTAATTGTTCACTGGATCTCCTCCCAAGGTAAACAGCATTCTTTTAAAAACATTTCAGTTATAATAATGAACACTGTCAGCCAAACTATCCAGCAAACCAGTCTTACAAGGACAAGAATCGAACAGCCATGCCAGCTCCTGAAGGGGATCACAGGCAAGGCCTGGGACCACAGCATGGTACAGATGACCAAGTGCTGCTTACAGCAGCCAAGTCCCCTGGGCCAAAGGTAACCACACCACCAGATTACTCTGCATGCAGACACAATACACCAGCACAGCTCCCTCTCAGGTTCTGCTACTGATTAAGAACAAAACACTCAGTTTTCTCTTCCAGGAGCATTGCCTAGTCTTATTTAAAACAACTTTCTTTGATTTCTTGCAGTCTGGCAGTATAACTACACAACTATAAATATTGTTCAATTTTAAAGCCAAATAGACCAATTTCACTAAATTAAATAATTCCATTTCCCCCCCCCCTTTATCATAAAATGCATTTTTGCAAATGTGTTGATGCAGTATTTTAGTGACCAAATAATGCCCTTCAACATCCTTCAGCAAGTCACAGGAATATCAGTGGTTAACCTTTATGAACTGAAAGCCAGTTTGGACCTTTGGCTGCTATAATAAATCAAACAGCAGGAAAGAAGATTTTATTTCACAGACAAATTTTATTATTGAAGGCTATTATGAAAAATGTACTGCCTAAAAGGCACAGATGGGCATAAAAGCCCAAACAGCTGCCTCCAATTAACCCACCCTTCTTTCCAAGTCAGGCAGGGCTGGATGGCTCCAAGGCCTGGGAGCCCTTCTCACTCTAAAGGAGGTGAAGGACAGGGCAGAGGTAGAGACAAACCCAACAGGCCTAAAAGTGTCAGAGAGGGACACACTGGACATGCTGAGTGATGTAGAAGTCAGCAGTAAAGCAGAGGAAGATGGTAACAACCTAAAGTAATTCTTATATAGGGGTGGGTTGCTTGATGAGCACCAGTCACTTTCCTTCTCCCTGTCACTTCTGTATTGATAAAGCTCTTCTGACAGAAGAGTATCAGTACATTTAACACTGCTAGGAGAGCACACTGACTTATTTTTCAAGTATGTTTTAGCCCTGGAAAAGCCCTCTGGCATGACATAAAGAAGGGTCCCATGCTTTTCAACTCCCTAGTGACACTGCATCTTTGTTGACCAGACTAGCACAAATCTCTCTGATCTGCAGGATGACTACCCAGGCTTTATGTGCTTAAGCCTCCCAGGTCATGTCAGGACTTTCACAAAGATCTCTGAAACCAGACAGCTAAGCTCATATACGTTTGACAAGTGAAGTTCATATTTTTACACTAAAATATTTTGTATTTATGCGGCATCTATCACCCAAACACTTCGTAGGCTTTACAAACAGTTATGAGTTTCCTCACAGGAAATCAAGTATTAGCACTACCATTTTGAATATAGAAATACATAAAAAACCCCAATTAATGTAGCAGTCTGCTGAAAAATTACGTTGCAATGAAGCTGCTTGTTTCATTTTATTGTCTCTCTCCTGCAAAGCAGTTGCAAATACCAAGTCTTTGTAGGTACTACTTCTATGAAAAAGTGAGATAGAAGAAAAACTTCCCTGTCTCTGTCAAGACAAAGGCTTCCTCAGACATCTCAGGAACAGTAAGCTCATCAGCATTTAAATACATCTGTAAATACCAACAGGTTTAGACAAAGTATATGAGAACTGTAATCTTTTAAAAAGAGAACATCCTTACCTGCTATTCCTATGAAGACTGTCAGACCAAAACAAATAAAGAATACTACAAAGACCAGAACAAAATGCCTTTTGGACAGTGTATACAATCGCATCGGGGCCAGCCTACAGGAAGCAAAAGAAACCACAGAATTAGTGTCTGCCATATTTCTAAAGGGGCAGAAAATAAACCCCATTCACTCTTCAACAAAGAAAATTAAACCAAACACTGAGGTAACATGTAACCCTAAGAAAAAAGATGCTGCTTCATAGAGCAAAGATAACAGGAATTATTAAACACATGTATGTACACACACATCTGTGCTCCAAAATGTATGAATTTTGCCCATTTTTTAATGCTAGGGTTTTCTATTGTCCTAAAACTTGAGCAACAGAAAGCATTTCTTAAAGATAGAAAAGGTTGTTTGTGTTATTTCATACATTAATAACTTAAACATCCAACACCCTATGTCTCCTGCAATGAGAGCTTAATCTAAAGGGACAGACATCACTGACAACTCAGTTACCTGCACAGGATCTTGATGAGTTGTCTATACCCCATAAATACATTTCAACCTAACAGAATCATCCCCAACAAGGAGCAGGGCAGAACTCCAGATCTGCTAGATCTGCATGCTCAGGCTTTGAACTCTTGTCTGAGCTCCACCAAAGCTTGGGAAATAAAAACCTGAACTCAAGTTTGCTATTGGACACCTAAACACAAATATACATATTAGCAATGACATCTCCTGCACTATGCATTGGTGGTTATAATTAGGTTAAAGACAAAACGGGGGCAGGGGTGTGGTGTGCATTGAAAATACCAACTGCATTCCCTGGAAAACAGGTGACTTCCAGTTCTGTTAGCCTAAGGGAAATATGATTAAATAACTAATCTTACATAAGGTGGACAAATCCACCATGTTTCAAAATACAGCAAACATTTCCTCTTGAGTTACACCAGAACTGAGCCACCACAGTGGCTTTCTACTGTTTCTGACTTTCTACTGTTGTTCCAGGAGGTACGATCATGGGAATCTGTACAGTTTATATGGGAAAGCTGCAGGACTGGGGGGGCTGATGGGGTGCTGGTGGTGTCTTTCAATACATTTGTAGGAGCACCATCATGGAAAGAAATCAAACCTTAAGACTTTAATTACAGCACTTCCTTTTAGCTTGGAATAAAACTTCTTTCTTCTTTTCACCAGCTGAATGGTGCTCTTACTGGTTCACCACATTAACATAGAATTGTAGAAGAGGTGGTGAAATCCTCCCCATAAGCCCAGCCTGAACTCTGGGACCAGGTATCATGTGCTGCTTGCATGGCAGCCCTTAAAGCAAGGCAAACAATTCACTTTAAACCAGTACAAGAATTTAATAATAACAACCTCTGTTTTCTTTGAGAATCACTGCATTTTCGCCAAATGAAGCACTACCAAATCCAATTTGCATTATTTCTTTACTGTAAAGTTTGAGAGATCCAAATCTTAATTTATTAACACAGAAAGGAGGTGGGGAAGGGAAGAAAACCCCAGAGAAGTAATGAGAACTGCAAGCAAGAAGCTGCAATGTTACGAGCCTGCACAAAGTGGCTGTGCAGGACTCCTGGGACAGCACCTGCAAAACACTTGCCACACACCTTTACACACAGCAGAAACTCTGCATCAGTCTAGAGGTCAGAACAGCTGACTGTACAGCCAAAAAAGGCAAAGCATACGTGAAACAACCAAGTAATTACCATATAAGTAATATCAGATCATCACACAGAAGCCTCACAGACAAATAGGGTTTTAAGCTGATTTTTAAAACCACAAATAGAGGCATTTCAAAGCAGAACTTGTCTGCATGACTTTTTCAGGGATGTAACTGCAGTATTTTTCCTATATCAATGTCTTAAAACCTCAGCCTTCATGCACTTAAACAATGTTAAAGCTATTAAATTTGTACTAGGTCTAAAACAACTAAGGTGCATTTTTCCATCAGCTCCAGGGGCTCCTTCAATTCCACAGATGACCTGGTGTTCCCTGTCTACCTGAGTACACCAGGTATGGGATATTTTCTTGAAATACCAAAGTATTAATCTTAGCAAGAAAATCCCTGACATACAAAAACAGTACATAAAATGTGGACGTGCCTAAATTATCTGTAAGAGTTCAAGTGGATACCAAATGCTTCAAGGCAGAGCACATACTGAGGAACTCTCAACACAGGAAAGTTTATGGCTTGAGCATAGCTGACACCTGGAAGGGTATCATGTTTGCAGTAATGCATAACAAAGACTTGTGCTGTCTGAACAGCTCACATCTGAGCATCCACTTGACAGCCACAGGCTGATGCAGGATACTTCTGACTTGCTGGGCATGTTCTTGGTTCTTTTCATATCTTTCCTAATTTCAAAGTTTTTGCATTGCAGACATTTCAAAATGCATGATGTGGACATGAAAAGCAGCTCCCTCCCCACACTCCTTACAGGAAAGCCACCAGTTCCTCACCCAGCCAAGAGTGTTACAACCACTGGCAATTAGCACCTTGGTTTACTACTCATAAGCCAGAGCAGATGTGCTTGTGAGCTTCTGAAGAGCATGTTCCAGACATTGGCTCATTCTTTATTCCAGCTGCTCTCCAGATGGTGCAACACCTAGTAGTTGGAATGGGTAGGTGTACACCTACCTACCCAGCCAAGAGTGGAGACACAGAGAGCAGAGACACACCCCATGTTTTCCTTTCACTCACACCTGTACTCCTCAAGTCTCGTTTAAGCCACTGACTGAATGTGCTGCTTTAGAGGTCAGTAAGGCAACGTGAACACTTTTACTCACAGCAAATCTAAGAACTCAGCCAAATCTTAACTATATTTCTCATGAAGGCAAACCACAATTTACAGCATTCCTATCAGGTGATGCACACTCCATTGCCCCTTGCTGCAGCTGCAGAACTTCCTTGTGCACATTTAAGTGTCTCGTTGCACCTACCACCAGCTGACTTACAAAGCAGGTCAAATCACCTTCCCGTGAGTTCATTGTTTAACACCTGCTTTTTGGAAAGAGATTGCATAAAGTTTATCAATATACCTAAGTGCAAGTTGGTGATGCCCCACTGACAGCCTCTATCTTACATTTGAAATGCCCAAGAAAGAAATGAAATGTTGGAAGCACATTTATAGGAAAATCAAAAAAGATTACTCCCTCTGGATGCACCTGTTCAAACAAGTAAAGAACTGTGCTTTGCTTTACCAAGCAAAGTGGAAGATACTTTAATCAGCCCAACCACAGCAGTCCAAAGCTCAAGACTAGGCATCCAACTGTCTGCAGGTCTTTCAGGCAGCTTTTACCACCTACACTCAGCTTTACCCTAACTCAGAGTGGTTTATAATTAACTTATGTCCGAAACTGACTGCAAAGGAGGAGAAAACACTGAGATACAAACAGAGAAATTTTATACTTCAGTGTCTCAAATAGCAGTCAGTAAAACTAAACTGCTCTAGTGCAGCCTGTGACAGAGTTAACTTTGGAAACACACAAGCAAAACTGCTGCAATCTTTCAGGAGCCATTCATATGTGAGATGTAAAGGAGGGTTACATCTTGCTTTTGGAGTAAAGTTTTGTCTCCAAAGGGTCAGCAAAATGTTCCTCAGGATATTCCTCACCTTCAAATCACTTCTCATGACTGCACAACCAAGTCTTTCATGAAGACCATCAAGAAAAACAGAGCCTATTATATAACAGTTTTCACTGAAGACTGACTTTAAAGAAGGGAATGCTGTGGTGAAACTGAGATTAAGCAGTAGGAAGGCACAGAGTCAATACTAAAATCAGAAATAGCTTGCTTTTCTGCACAGCAGCTTTTCTGAAATCCTAGCCTCAACATCTCTGCCTCCAACTGCTCTTCTCTATTTTAGGCTCAGTCCCAAATAGAACCATCAAACCCACTTTGATTTGAATAATTATATATTCTACCTACGTTGACAGTACTGGGGCTATCCACAGACCCTGCACTTGCTCATGGGTTAAATACATTGCCTGCTTTGGTGTCCCTCAGAAGACCTTGAATTTCTTCTTGCAAATGTATTCCACAAGGGTTAATAGCTAATGAGGCAGCACATGGCTACATAAAAAGAGGCATAAAATTAACATTGTCAGTACTATATAGAACTTCTACACGACAACTGACAGATAAACATGGCTGTGCTTTACCTTTGTATGTGTGCACGGGATAGGTTTGGCTTTTTTGTCTTTTTAGTTGTTGTTCGTTGTATTCATTTAAGTCTGAATAATTAATCACGGCTATGGCTCTTGGTCATGCATTTCTTGGTCCATGCCAAGAAATATCCGGGAAAAGAAGTATTTTCTTTTTCCTTTAACAATCAATCTGAGAGTGAAGATACCGGGGGTGGGGGGAGGTTTTATTCGCCATATAAAAGGCAAACTCACAGCGTTCACCAAAAGAAAAGGACAGTCACCCTCGGGGCTCTGAGCGACGAACCACAACCTCAGAAACATTCATTTAACCCTCGAAGAGCTGATTTCCTTAAGGAGGATAACCTGTATAAACTGAATTACACTCAGACCGCCCAAAGGGACTGAGGGCTCTCCCTCCCTGGAGATACCCGAGACCCGTCAGGACACAATCCCGTGCCGCGCGCTCTAGGACTGACCCTGCCGGAGCAGGTGGGCTGGACCAGTCGCCCAATGACCGCGGTCCCTTCCGAGTCTGCCCGTGCTGTGATTATGTCAATGACAACACTCAGCTCCTCCCTCACAGAGCGCAGTTTGTTCTCCCGGACCCGGGCGAACCGGCGCCCCTCAGGCTCGTGCGCCCGCCGCCCCCCCCCCTCCGCCCCCACTCACGGCTCCATGGCGGCGCCGCGCGCGCACTGCCGGCACCTCCTCCGCGCGCCGCCGCCGCCGCCGTGGCACAGCCGGCGCCGCGCGACGCCTTCCGCGTGCGTCACCGCGCGGCCGCCACGCGGCCCCACACACGTCACGGGCCCCGCCGCGCCCCGGCCGCGAGGGTGCTGGGGGTGGGGGGGAGCTACGGCGAGCCCGAGGGGACACGGGCCCCTGCTCCGCCGGGGCGGCGGGAGACAGAGCGGGAGAGACCCTTCGGGAGGGAGCGCGATACAGCTT